TGATACACGCAAGCATCTGACATTGCCAGTTCTTGTGGCACACATTTCATTCACTCTCCCTCTCCTAAACACAACCTACGAATATGCATTTCTGAAGAGGGGTCCCGACCCGAAACGTCAGCATTCCTGTTCTTCTGATGCTGCCTGGCCTGCTGTGTTCCTCCAGCTCCACACTTTGTTATCTCTGACTCCAGCATCTGTAGTTCTTGCACTAGTTAAGCTATTTTGGATCCATAACTTATAATAGAATCCCTACAGTGTGGAAACAGGCCAATTGGCCCAATAAGGACACACCGCCCTTCCGAAGAGCACAGACCTAACCCCCTACCCTTTCCCTGTAACCCTGCATTTCCCATGGCTAATCCACCTCATTTACACACCCCTGGATACTATGGGCAATTTATCATGGTCAATCCACCTAACCTGCACATCTTTGGACTGTGGGAGGAAACCGGAGCACCCGAAGGAAATCCTCGCAGACACAGGAGGATGTGCAAACTCCACACAGATAATCGCCAGAGGGTGGAATCGATCCCAGGTCCCTGGCTCTGTGAGGCAGCAGTTCTAACCACTGAGTTCTAACCACTATGCTGCCTTTCTCAAAAATCTTACCATCTCAGTCTTGAGAACGCCTGTTGTTCCAGTATCCATAGTCTTTTCATGGAGACAGTTCAAGATTTCCACCATCTTTTTCCTGTGAAAAGGTACTTCCTGACTTCATTGCTGAAGGGCCTAATGGTAATTTTCAGATACTTTGATTTGCCCATCGGTGGAGAGAGTTTTTATTTTCTGTGTTAACCATTTGAAATTCCATACCTTGATTAAAGCATGCACAATCTTATAAACTAAAACTTTCTTCACCCAGAGAGTGGTAAACCTGTGGAATTCAGTACCACAGAAAGTGATCGAGGCCAAAACATTGTGTTTTCAAGAAGGAGACAGATGTAGCTTTTGTGACTGAAGGTATCAAAGAATATAGGGGAGAGGGAGTGAGGGAGGGAGGAATTAGGGGAGTGAGCTCTATGATCAGCCATAATCATACTGAATGGTGGAACAGGCTCTGGAGGGTAGTCAAATGGCCTGTTCCTGCTCCTATCTTCTTTGTTTCTATGTAAATTAAAGACATACCACTTTCTATGTGAGCAGTTGACTTAACCCACTCAGCTCTACGATCATTCCAATTAATCTGTGCTCTGCCCTACCATGGCCACTTTATCTTTTCTCAGGTTAAGTGGTCAAAAGCGGTGAAGCTTAGCCAAGACTTATGAAGTGTATAGTTTGTGTAAAGATCACAGAAGATAACCTAAATGGTAAAAGACTCATGTTTAGCTATCTGGATTGAGATTTTCGATGAGGTAACAGGAAATTCCAAAAGGCATTTGATAAAGTGCCTTGGGAGCCATGTGAGTAGAGCTGAAACCCCTGGAGCAATAGCGGAAAAGAAACAACCTCCTATAGTGGGGAGATTCCAGACAAAGGGACCATAGCTTTCAAATTAAAGCTAGGCCATATATAATTTGTGAATGAAGCATTTTGAATGTAAGCTTGTTCTTTCTTTCACCCTGAGAAGCAAATGTAAGCCATTAACTTAGGGATTGAATTTTCAGCATCCAGTAAATGACCACTTACATTATTTTAGTGTCTCGTGACATGTGGAAAGGGCACAAGACATCGACAAGTATCATGCATACTGAATAATGAACAACTGAGGGACGACTTTTGCAATCCAAGTACCAAGCCAGAGGCTGTAGGAACCTGTGAGCTACAGGAGTGTGCGTCATGGCAAGTTGGGGCTTGGGGCCAGGTGAGTGCGTGCCCAGAATTTTGATTGGTTGGCCAGGTGAGTGCGTGCCCAGAATTTTGATTTGTTGGCATGGCTGTATCTATGGGCAGTGTATGGGAGCACACTCCTGTATATCGGGGATTAGGTGCCAAGTATGTCAGGCTTGTAGGCGCTACATTTCTAAAGACCCACACTCCCAATGTATAGAACACTGTTCAAAGGGGGCTGATGTGATGTGTGACCAACCTTTGCTCAGGGAGCGAGCGACACAATGACAAGACATACTTACCATGAGTAACTTGTGAGAAATTCCTGGAATCTGTTTCTCTTATGAGGAGCTAAAACTTTTAATCATTATTGAAGGACAGAATAGTGACCATTCTCCTTGATGGCAGGAAATAAAGCTGGATCTCTTTGGCATTAAGTAGCTTCAAAATGGCATATTTGCTAATAGACGATGGGAACGAAAGCATGTCTAGAGTCAGTTATCCGCTATGTGAATATAGGTGAGGGTACAATTCTCTGAATCCTTGAGAATACTGTTTGCGATCTACCAGTCTGACTAGTTTATTGATGGAACTGGGAGGCGTAAAAGCAAAATCCTGCAGATGCTGCAAATCTGAAACAAACACAGGGAATGCTGGAGAAACACAGCAGATCTGGCAGTATCTGTGGGGTTAACATTTCGAGTCTCGTATGATGTCCTCAGATGTAGAAATGTCACTGGGCAACCAGGATTGTTGTAGGTAACTCTAAGATAATGTCCTAAGTTACAGAATATAATATTTATTAAGCAGAATTATTTGTTCACATACATCTGAAAAAAAATTTTGAATGAGTAGTTTTAGGGATTGTTTCCTAGATCAGTCTGTTGTGGATTCAACAATAGATTAGGTTAATTTGGATCTGGTGATGTGTAATAAGGAAGGTTTAATTTTTTTTTTATTCATTCATGGGATGAGGGTGTTGCTGGCTAGACCAGCATTTATTGCACATCCCTAATTGCCCAGAGGGCTGTTAAGAGTCAACCACATTGCTGTGGGTTTGGAGTCGCATGTAGAGCAGACCAGATAAGGATGGCAGTTTCCTTCCCTAAAGGACATTAGTGAACCAGATGGGTTTTTTCCCCCAACAATCAGCAATGGATTCACGGTCATCATTAGATTCTTAATTCCAGATATTTATTGAATTCAAATTCCACAATCTGCCATGGCAGGAGTCGAAATCAGGTCCCCAGAATGTTATCTGGGTCTCTGGATTAACAGTCCAGCGATAATACCACTAGGCCATTGCCTTCCCCTGATTGTTGTAGGTAACTCTGTAAGACAATGTCCTAAGTTACAGAATATAATATTTATTAAGCAGAATTATTTGTTCACATACATCTGAAATAAAATTTTGAAAGAGTAGTTTTCCTGAAAGTATTTTCATATGACGGACAACTGACCTTTATCCTGTTGCTTTTCACTAGTGTGCTGCTACTTGTGGGCATGGATACCAAATGCGTGCAGTGAGGTGTGTAGTAGGTGCTTATGGTGCAATTATAGATGACAGAGAGTGCAATGCTGCAACTCGTCCAAGGGATAGCCAGGTAAAGGAAAAATCAAATTCTATTCCTTCAAATAAGTTACTTTAATAGAAACAGCAAATGTTCTAAACTAAATCATTACATTTCCTTGTAACTTCAACTGATGTAACAATGAGAGATTTCTAGCTGACTATTGTGTTGTCACCTTTAAGAGCTCAACATACAAATGACTGGATGCTAATATATGACCATGGGCTCTCTACACTGTAGCACAAGGTAAATGCTATATCTAGAGATTACTGTGTACATGATGTATTACCTTAGCTGCAAATAAACCCAGTAATGATCTTCAAGAAGGTGGAATCCATGTGCTTTATTTGTGTTGCATTTAAATAAAGCAAGAATATTTTTGCATATACTACTTGAGTATGACAGTGGCACTGGATTGAATGTTCTCTCCCATGATAAAAACCACCCAACGTTCATCAGACACTGCACAGATGTTTTTGTGTTTTGATTAATTTCTTTGCAGGACTGTGAGCTGCCTCCTTGTTTGGAGCCATCAAAGATAGTCACAACCACAAGTCCAGCTGTTCAGAGAGGGATGATGACCCAATGGAGATATGGATCCTGGACTCCTGTAAGTGAATCTATTTTAATAAGAAACTAACGCATCCAAGTGACAGAAAATTCAAGATCAAAGAACTCAAGTTCTGAAAGCCTTATCTCATAAAAGATAACGAGTTGAACACATCTAGTACATTATCAAAGTGTCTGCATGCCTTTGTTAACCTGTGTCCATGGTTCTTGCTACCTATGGAGAGAGTGAGTGCTGTAAACTAAGACTAATTTATACCATTGCAGCTTAAGGAAGCCACATTTTAAAAGACTAAAATCTGGATGGAGGTCAGGCAATTGTGCTGGTTATGAGGGAGCCAGTAAGTTTACAGTCTTGCATCTCAAATCGATATGAAAGCCTAAATTATGTATGTCTCCAAAAATGTGATTCCCATTATATGCATCACAGAATCCACATGTTGATGTATACCTGCTGTGTATTGTTTTATTGGAAGTAGCAGACTCGGTCTATAAAAAACCGAGTCTTAAGAGGAAGTCTTGCTGACTGTAAGTGAACTCCAGAAACTGGAGGCTAACATTGCCAATATCACTTTGTCTTTTATCAGCATTTTTATATGATATCCTGTTAATTCCTGATCTTTGCATTCAAGGTATAAAATTTGCAATACAAAGCTAATATCTTCGATTTTTAAAAATGTAACATATTATTGTACCTGCAAAAGTTAACAGATTGGAAGTTCATTCTGGTGGGAAGTAGGAAAGTAAACGAAGAAGAGTGAGTCTAGAAATTAGCTTGTTGGTCAATTCGCCAATCCTCCACTTGCTTGTAACAAATGGGATTTCCCAGTTGACCACTGGTCAATATTGTATATTATGATCTGTTCAGGAGTTCCATCACACACAAACTTGGAAAGCTACTTGTATAGTAATGAGGATGTGTATAGGTTTTAGGGTGGCACACTGAGTGATGAAATGGGCAGATGCATGGAAGACGGACTTCAGTGGAGTGAAATGTGAAGTAATGCACTTTGGGAGGATTAATATGGAAATAGAATATGTAATAAATGGCACAATTTGAAATGTGTGATATAGGTCTGCAGAGAAAGTTTAGTCTGGAGATATGCAAATCCTTAAAGTTAGCATGACAATTGATAAGGTGTTTGAAAGAAGCCTATGGGTTACTTGGGTTTATAAATATGGGTAATGAATACTCAGTAAGGAGGGCATGCTAAAGTTTTATGAAGAACAGCAATAACTTGCATTTATTTAGCACTTCTAATGTCCCAAGGCAGTTCATAGGAATGTTATAAAGGAAGATTTGACATTGAGCTTGTTAGGGCAGATGGACAAAAGCTTGTTAAATAATTGTGTTTTAAGGATTTTTAAGAGTTTTTTAAAGGAGGATAAAGAGTCAGAAAGGCAGAGAGGTGTAGAAGGATGGGACGGATAGCTTGAGATGTGAGTAACTGAAGGCTCTGATACCAGTGGTAAAGCAATTAAAATGGAGGATACAAAAGAGATAGTGAGGACATGTGGAACAAAAGGCAGTACTTTAATCATGGGTGATTTTAATGTTCATGTAGATTGGGAAAATCAGAGTGGCAGAGGTAGCCATGGTGAAGAATGCACAGCGTATATTAGGGACTATTTCCTAGATCAGTATGTTGTGGATTCAACCATAGATTAGGCTATTTTGGATCTGGTGATGTGTAATGAGGAAGGTTTAATAAATTATCTCAGAACAAAAGATCCTTGTGAAGACAGTAACCATAACATTGTAAAATTTAGTACTTGGTTTGAGATGATGATGCTAATCTCAGGCTGTAAAAATTAATATTCAATCAAGTCCCATTCTCATGTTGGTGGATAGACATTTGCAGCTCTTTATCTTTTTTCGTTTAAGGCTTTAGTTATTAGTTTTAGCCCTTCCCTCTTTGGCAGTTTGATTGTTGATGATTAAGAGCAAAAAAAGGATGCCAAGTAAACTCAATGGCGTCATAAGTGAGCGATCTGCACCCACCATTCTGCTGCTACTCAGGATTTACATGCCCACACATAGCTATCTGTCCGTGATGGAAGAGAACAATCTTCATGGGGCTCCAGCTCAGCAGAGAGATCTGTTGAAAGCTGTACCATCTGCTGCACACTGATCTGTAGCTAAATGACATACAGGGAAGCTTTGCTGTCTCCTTTTATGCCTGCAGCTTCTTGCAAGGTACCTCCAAGTTACTGCAACCTCCTATCCAGCATGCATCCGATAACTAATGCAATTTCCACTACTCTAACTGATTCACAAGTTTTTTTTTGTATGATCTGCACCACCAGTGAAGTGCCAGATGTTATGATGTCAATACAACAATGCTATACTTGGAAGAGTAGATTAAACACCAGTAAAATTTAAGGGCCGCATAAATAAATGAATCAGACTATTACAGTTTTATTATATTTCTGTTTAAACATTGAGGGCACACATTACAGTTGACATTATGCATTCTTATGAAGTTTGAGTCTCTTTCTCCTAGTGAAAATTGTGGAGTTTTAAATTTAACATTTAATATATGGAATTTTTTGTTTATATGTCCCTAATTTTTCTTCTTGCCATTATTGAAAATGTGAACAGTAATTTTAAGGGTGAAACGATTTGATTTTTGAAGCTTCTTGTTGTTGTAGTGCTCGGTTAGCTGTGGGAAAGGAGCACGTGCTCGCTACGTTAGCTGCAGAGATGCTCAAGGTGGCGTTGCTGATGAATCCTTCTGTGCCCACTTGCCTCGTCCTCCTGAGATGTCAACATGCTTCAGTCCCTGTGGACAATGGCATGCTGGAGAGTGGTCACCCGTAAGTGTTCCATCTTCTGCTATTAGAGAACACGTGTTCGAAAACCATGAACATCTATTCAGGGCAGTTCAAAACACCACCACGTAAATACTCATGACAACTTGAGTGTCATTCCACATTCCTGTTGAGGAGGATTTGTTCACATGGAGTTTTGGTCCACGGGGTCGGAAGTTACATTGTTATCACTCTATCTCTGACACCAACCTCTGGGGGAGAGAACACACAAGCTCTGGATGGCTTTCCTTTTCTCAACTTTACCTTTTTGTTAATAAATACTTTGTGAAGAAACCTCACCTTACATTGCAGAGAGTATGGCGAGGGTATTGAAATTGGTTAAGTATTGCTGATTTTAGTTGCTGGTTCCTAACGTCTTTCTCTAGCAAAACATGTTAACCTGGTACTTTCTAACATAGATGTAGGTGATATGTAGGTGATATGAAGAAATAGGAAGAGTTGGGGTAAAGAGAAGTTTTCCACATTAGACAAAGGGAGAAAGTGAAGTTACTCGAGGATCAGTGCTGGAACCACTGTTATTCCAAATTTACATTAATGACAAGAAGTGAGTCAGTATCAAAATTTACAGGTGATCCCAAACTGGGACCCAGAGCTAACATTGAAGAAGCAAAAAAGAGCTCATTAGAAAACTTGCAATCTGATCAGTTAAGTAGCCAATAAACTTTAACATAAAGATGAGGTGATATTTTTATTTTTTTCTATGAAAACATACCACCTACATCTATGAAATAATGGGGTAGAAGAGCAAAGGACTGCTGAGATATAGACGAATGAATCATTAAAAGCAGCATCTCAGGTCAGCAAATAAATTGTAAAAAGCTAACCGGTCACTGAGATGCAATTAAAGGAGTACTGAACTGAACACTAGTTAATCTATGCCAAACCGATATAGGAGTGAAGTCCTGTTAGGCTGTGTCTGGTGTGCTGAGTGTATATCGGGTCTTAATACCTTGGAAAGGACAACAGTGCTCTGAAGTAAGAGCAAGAAAGGTTGACAAGAATGGAGCTAGAGTTGAGTGCTTACATTTTTTGAGGTAGATTGAACAGTTTTCAGCTCTTTCCTTTATGAAAGAAAAGTTGCGATCAAGACCAAAAAGAGCATTTTAAAATTATACAGGTTTGGATACGTAGATGTGGAGACATTAAGGGAGCTACATGCTCTTTGTAATTGCACGAACATTGACAATTCCTTGTTTGTTTCTTTTCCCGCAGTGTTCCGTCAGTTGCGGTTCTGGGACGGTCACTCGTCAGGTTGTTTGCACTAGCTACCACCATCAAATCACAATCACGGACGAGAGTGACTGCAATGCCATGGGGAAACCGTCTCAGGAGCAGGAATGCAGTATGCCCCCATGCCCCCGGACGCATCACCAACATGACTACCCTGCACAGTTCCCACAGCGCAACTATCCGCAAACCCATCCAGACCAACCTTCCCACGACATGCCTGGTCAGAAAACGTGGAACAGTCCATCACGGGAGAGTCAGTGGCGGACAGGACCTTGGGGAGCAGTAAGTGATTTACACAGTTAAAAGACCATTTGTTGAACAGTCTATTATCAGCTCCTTATTTTTGAAAGAAGGACATTTTAGAAGAATTGAAAATTTCAATAAACTGAGATTGACAGATTTTTTTGGGGGTATTTGTATTAATGATTACACAAACAAGGGAGGCAAATAGAGTTAGGATACAGATCAGCTTTGCTCTAAACTTACGATGAGACAATCTCAAGAGCTGAGTGGCCTTCTCCTGTCTCTGTGTAAAGGCACACTACTGCAAGAAGGAAATGAGTACATGTCCTTTAGTTATAAAGTGTTCTGCAAAGCTAGATAGCACCGAAATTGTCAGGCACTCCCTACAAAACATCAAATGATTCTAAAAGGATTTAAATAAAGTTTATAGTAATATATAGAGTCTTAAGGGCAAAAGAAAGGATTTTCAATAGCAAGACCATCTGAGAAAACTCTTGACCTATCCTGAATATCCTACTCACAGCTTCAGGCCAGAGCTGGCCCCAGTCCTTAACACCTCCAAATATGGATTAATGCCAACGTTTGATTGATAATGCTCTTGTGCAATGCCTTGGAAGGTGTGACACAGATATAAGTTGTTGTTGCTGCCACTCATCCATTTCCAATCTGCTATGCATTAGCCAATTAGCTGAACAGATTTTAAAGATGCTAAAACATATTTATCTCTCTATTTCCTAAGATGACTATACTGCCTGTGCCCATTTACATCAAACGAGTAATAAGCCAACTTTATCACAACTGTGAGATGTCTTACCTATCAATCTGGATGCCCAGAATTTCCAAAGTGTACTGCCATGTATTCTTTGAATGATAAGTCATGGTGTCCTTCATCACCCTTCTATGATCTGCAGATTTATGCTAAATCCTTCATCACCCCAACACAAAAACTGGCATCCTCGTTGTTCTTAAAACTTCTACATGCAAGTCAGAAATCTTAAGGACCGTTTAGAGGAAGAATCCATCCGGTGTTGCTGTCAAACGAGCTGAACCGTTGATTTAAAATTGTGAAGCTGTGTTGGTTTTCCAGAGTTGCTTATTGACCAATAAATTGTTTTAGTGCTCGAGCACTTGCACAGGTGGATTTCAGCGACGGGTAGTCGTCTGTCAAGATGCAGAAGGACGTCCTGCTAATGACTGTGATGAAAGAGTGAAGCCGGCAGAGACCAGGCACTGCGATGCTGGAACATGTCCTCATTGGAATTATGGCAACTGGGGTGAGGTACGCCGTCCGAGAAGTGAATAACATTTTCTAGAAGTTACCAGTTGTTTAATCGTTAATGTCATTGTATTCCAAATCGTTTCAGCTCTTTGTTGAAGTATTTGTTATGATCGGTTTAAATTTTCAGAGTTACAGATCAGAAGTGGTCTCAATTGGCACTTAATTATCTTAAATGTGGTCCTTGCATTCCACCCCAATACTTGGCACTTGTGGCCAATTGGTTAAAGCAATGGACTAGAAATTAGTCAAAGTTTTGCCACATCAGCTCAACCCTTGCTGACTAATTACTATGTTTGGCTGTTCACTGTCCAAAACCATTCACCTCTGCATTTAGAAAACCATTAACTGTTCCAATGGACTTTCTAATCAGTTGATTCATTATTAAAATTTGTTTGTGACTTTTTACTTTTAAGCAGCTGCTTGTAAACAAACCAGGAGACAGGTTGCTTTAAAAAGTCTCATTTTGTATGGTATCACCTACTTCCCTTTCTGGTGATGGCATTGATAGCCTCTTCAGTGAAAACGTTCTATATTATGAAAGCAAATATCCTGATACGGATATACCTTAGTTCTCATCATTTCAGAGTCAACATTTTAAAATTGCAGACTTTTGCAATTATGAAGTTGTCTTCAGAATGCGGAATGAAGCTCTTTAACTAATCTTTGGGCCCTTGTTTAGTTCCTTCCTGTTTGACCAAGTTTTAAAGTCATTTGTCCTCATAAGTCCTTGCATGGCTCATGTCAAATCTTCTACTAGGCAACATTCTTGTCAAGCGACTTAATTGGAGGAAGGGTCACTGGACGCGAAACGTTAACTCTGATTTCTCTCCACAGATTCTGCCAGACCTGCTGAGCTTTTCCAGCAATTTCTGTTTTGTTTCTGATTTACAGCATCCATGGTTCTTTCAGTTTTTATTTTGACTTAATTGGAATGTTTTAAAGGCTTAAATGTGCTGCATAAATGCTACATGTATTGTTGTGAATGGCAGTGTTATGTGTGATCCAGCCACAGAATCTAATAGCAATCTTTTCGCATTTAAAAACCCGATTTGATGATTACAGTATTTTACTGGCAAGTAAGTGCAAAAATAGATAAGGTTGCTGACTCCGCAACCAGAAAGACAGTAGTGACTCAGTAAAATCTTTAGCTTATGACTGATTGAAGTGTATTAAAGGTCAGCACAGACAACAAGTTGTGAATGTTGAGTGATGTTGTACACTTGAGATCAAGTCCCAGTCAAACACAATTTCCAATTAACTCCAGACCCGAAACGTCAGCTTTCCTGTTCCTCTGACGCTGCCTGGTCTGCTGTGTTCATCCAGCTCTACACCTTGTTATTCCAATTAACTTATTGTTTGCCCTGTTCTTATTATGGTTTCTGATTGTCATGCAGTGCACACAGCCATGTGATGGTGGGACAAGAACAAGGCTGGTCATCTGCCAACTGCCAAATGGTCAAAGACTGAATGACCAAAACTGTGACATCTTGGAAAAGCCTCCAGATAGGGAACAGTGCAACATGCATCCTTGTCCTGGTGGTGTTTTATGGCATCGAGGACCATGGAATTCGGTACGATAGTATTCTTTCTCTTTTTCTCTAGTGATTGTATGTGTCTACGCAGGGTTATAATACTTGTGTGGTCAATTCCAGGGAGCTGTAATTAATTTTGTTTCTGAATGTAACTTAAGTGATAGCCACACAAGTAATTTTTTTTTATGAGGAGAAGGGACGGATTAGAAGACAAACTGTTGCCAGGGATACATTCCATGTAGTTGTTCCATTTTCAGGTCAATAGCTAAGATGGTGCTTAATGATGAATAAAAGGCATTATTAAAGTCCTGTTAACCAAAAGCCTTTGGAAAATTTGGCTTCAATCATCACATATCTCTAATTATAAAACTAAATAGTAGACTGGTTTTAGATGTAGAATGGAAGCATTTTTATACTGGAAAAATATAATAATGTATAATTTGTTTTCCATTCGTTTCACTTGGTTAATGGTTACCCTATAAACACCATTAATGATTTGTAAATTTGTGTATAGGGAGTTCTTTTTTTAACAGCAGCAGATTAAAACTGCAACAATGAAAACCAGATCATTTGTATAATAGAAAGTGTAATTTTGTACAGTCTGTATCTTTAATGTTTGTTTTAATCATGAATGCAAGGAGGAAACGTTTTGTTATGCACATTTGTTAATGCTGTTTTTCTGATGGGTGCTGTTAATATCCACGGACACACTTTAGGGTCTGTCTGCAATTAAGGCAACAAAAAACACAGATTGCACCATGAAAATAATGTAGGACTTGCTGTAATAAACCCTCCTCTCATTTCAGAATCTAATGCAATGTAAAACAAGAGCAGATTGTAAGTGGATGGCAGAACATTATTAAAGCAACTTAGCTCTGCTACCTTATTTATGTAAAATACTTTCACATGGAAAATGAGTGCTTATCTCATTACTGAAGAACTCCCTTAAGCTCATCCAGGAGTTGGATTCCTTTCAGTGAGTGTTTCCCTTGCTGGGAACCTCCAGTCATTGTTGGTGGACGCTCCAATTAGTATCAGAGGAAAAAGTACAATATTCTAAAGTTTAATAGAAAGGCAGTAGTAAGAAAGCTACAAAATATCATAGGTACTAATATTGTATCCTGATTAGGGCACGCTACTTTATGATGCATTGAATTGAAGAAAATCCAATCGGGCACTATTGGGACTATTCTTTCTGTTTCTTTGAAAAAATAACTTGGTGACTGCAAGTTTCATTGCAGTTACGTGTTTGTAGCCATTTATAGATGATTACCTCTAAACATGTTGCTTCCAGTGCAATAGAAAAATGGGAAAATACCTCCATTAATTTGTGATGATGCAGCTTTTGTTGCTTCATTTGTTGCCAGCATTGCAAAAGATCTTAGCCATATGTTTGGTGCTACCTGTCCACACTGAACACAGAAGGTGCTTACAAACCCTGCAAAACATGGGCAGCTGCTCATTCCATTAAACTTAATAAAAATGTTGCAAAACCTTCCTTTTCCAGTTCTACCTTTTAATATATATATAGGTAAATAACCAATGTTGCAAGTAGAAAATGTGCAAGCAGTTGGATTTGTAGTCACTTATTTGTCTTGTTCATTTTGGTTACATTGGCAAAGTCTGTCTGAGCTCTAGCTGTGGCAAGTTGTAGATTTCTCACATTGGCAACTTGACATGTAATCTTGGTGGCTGGTGTGTCATTACCTGAACAATATGGCCAAATAAAATGCATTTTGGAAATGCTTCAGCCTTGCTGTATTTGATATTGTTATGAATTTGACTCTGTAAATCAATGACCATATCTTTAAATCATATGTTCATATTTTCATTTCAATTTTAAATTCCTGATCATCCCCTACTTTATGTCAATCTGACCCCTTTTCAGCATCTCTTTATTCAATCAGTCTTAATATTAATTTCTGACTGATAGGTTCTCCAGTCTTTCATTTAATTGCCCTCTCCTCACAAGAACAATTGCCCATCCTCATCAGAATTTATTGTTGTCTGCTTGGATTTTGATGAAAGAAGCAGACCATTAGTCTTTTTGTGGAAATTTTGACCTCAGCCTTAAAAGGGAAGGGCAGGAGATGGTAAAAACGAACCTCTAATTTACCTGACTGTAAGCTAGCATTGTGAAAGGCAAGGGGGACTCTCACTATCCTCTTAAATATAGTTATATTCAGCAGAAGTCCACTGTTTTATGCGCTGACCTTTGGTTATTTGAACTCAAATGGGACGTAGTGTGTAACGACCAGAGGTGTAACTTCTTGTCATACTAAATTAAAGGAGAGCCAAAAATCTGCTCAAAGTAAAGGCATTATTTTCCTGAGAAGAATTTTGACCAACCTTTCTAATTCTTTGCTTGCACACATGATATTGATTAAATCACTGCAGTTCTTGTATTTGATGAAAATGATGTGATATTCTGCAGCTCTGAATGAAACAAAATATTAACAAAATGCAGTTCTACAAAGATCCTTTAATTTTAAGCTTTTATTGAGTTAATATAAAAGTAATTGAAGACACATTATCCACTAGTTTCATGTTCAAGTAGCCAACTAAAGCCATTTGCCCTGTCAATGGTAGTTTGCAAGTAATGCGTATTTGTTGATTCATCAAGTGTGATTTGCATTTTGATTTGCTTTTTTGTCAGTTTGTTCAATGTTTCTCCAGATAAACATAGCATCCTCATTGTTTGCTAACAGCTATGTGTTCACTATATAAATGTTTATTTTTTTGTTGGCCTGTGCTGCTGTTTACACATTCTTAATTATCTGTTACTTGTAAATTGTGGTGCATGATCTGCCTTGCATATTCTGAGCAGGACCTCCATGGATAAGCCCACCTTTGTCCATCTGAAATAACCAGTAGGCTAAAACGAATGGGTTGCAGCAAATGCTGCATCATCAGCGCTGAAGACACTTAATTACTTTTTTTTAAAGTGTATTTATTTTTTACATTCTTTCAGTGATAATATTTATTTTAGATGACGTATGGAAAATAATTACTTTGTTCTTATTTTCAAATGTAAAATATTAAAGAGTACAATGTTGTAGAATCCATCTGGTGTTTTTATTATGGTGTAAACAACTTAAACCTTTGACATGTCATTTCTTGAAACTATTTTCAGTAGACTGTGGACTGCCTATTGATCAAGGGCTTGTTCTGTACGTCAGGTAGAGGGAACTGACTAAGTAGTTGTTCTTTGATTACAGCATCTGGGGTGAATCCTTCCACTTTATGAAATATCTTTTTGCTTATCAGTTCTTCCTTCATTTCCTATGTACACCTGTATATGCCTATGAGGTTAAATGCATCAATTTCTCTGTAGCTTCCTTACTGCTTGCTGTAAATTTCCTGAATTAGGAGGGGTTGTTGATGAAAGCCACATGATTACTCAAGTTCTTCACCTATAGGCACTTTCACTTCCTCACCTGTTGATTGTACAAACATATGAAAAGCCAAGAAAAAGCTAGTTGGCTCGTCAAGATGGCTTTGGGCTCTTGTGATGCATGGTAGTGTCCCCATCTCTGAGCCAGGAGACCTGGGTTCAAGTCTCATCTGCTTTAGTGGCATGTAATAATACCTCTGTAGCAGGCTGGTGAGAAAATATCTGTACGATGCATTGTCTGGCTAAATCAGAAACTGGCCCAGCTTCCTCTTGAAGGAGTGCAAAGAGTTTACAATTACCACTCAAAAAAAACAAGATTTTCCCAATTCCACCTCCTGAAACTTAAAAACTTGATTCTTAGTGATGTGTGTCACAGTGTTAGTGTCTGTAAATGGTTAAAAAAAAGGCAGAGTGCACTTTGAGGTTCTGAGCCAACATCTCTGCTGTTCAAGGTCTATAAATGTTATGTTTACTACAAGGTAGCCAAAACAGCACTTATATTGTTGATGACTGTTGCATTTGTGCAGTTGTGTGTATAACTGTTTAGAAGTTAGGAAATAAAGTATAACAATAGGGTGATAACACCCTGAGCTTTACCCTTCCCCACTTCCTCCACACTGTTGGATACCAGGGAGAGTAGTCATTTTCCAGAGAAGTCAAAGGCTTGTAACGTATGATCTCTCCTGCAAACTAATTCTGTTGCCTTGCAATGTCAGCAGGAAGGCAGTCTTAATACATTGTAAATCGAAGAAGTGTCTATTTGGTTACAAGAGTCATAGAGTCATCACAGCACTAAGGGCTCCTAACTTTCCCTTTGAGCCCATGCTGACATGATCAACTGTCACTTCCTAGTGAATAGGATGAGGAACCTGCAGTGCTTTCAATGTTTCCCCATACAGAATACAAGAAGTCTTTTGGTTTGATATCCATAGCTGAAGTCCATGAAAACTAGGTTGCAATCTGAACATATTGGAGTGCAGTAGCAATAAAGTGGCTTTAAGGTTGTGTGAAGTTAATTGTATCAAGTGAAGCTCAGTACATACAGGGTGAGGATACTGATTTGGAAATTTTTCTGAGCATACAGAAAGAAACATACTGACACAAGAGTGGAGTCAGGAGACATACACCTGTAATGTTTTACTCTGTGAATAAATCTATTGGACATAATGAGGAGTTTTGGATTATCTAACTGGCTGTTAGAGTTATAACAGCATGCGGTGGGCCAATAGTAAATGTTGCAACAGGCAACACTTAGTGGCATGCCTTTCTTATGTTTTTTCATACAGTAATTAGAAATGTTGCTTGCTGTTGGCAGCTTGCTTAAGATGTGCTATTTTTACATCTGCCCACAAATCTTTTGAATGGCAAGCATCATTCTGAACTGCTGCCTTCTGGGAAAGAACCCTAGGGTGCAAAACAAGCCATCCCTTACATACAATGACACCCTCACACGATACCAACCGATGATCTTGCTGTAAAGATTTGAATTTGTCTCCTCAGTCTCCCTATTCACCAACAATATAATTTGGATTTTAAATGCTCTGAAATGTAAATAAAATAGTTCATGGTGACTCACATGGAGTCACTTTTCTGTGAGTGTATAAACTCAGGGCAGCTACAAGTGCTGTCTTCATAACAGACAGAT